CCGACCTCCCGGCCGGCCCTACACGGAATGCGCGTGCGCGGCGGGAAGGGCGGGAGGGAGAGTGCGCGTGCGCGGCGGGTCGTGGGCCGGGCTCGGAGCGCCCGGCCCGCCCAGCAACACCGAAGGCTCGCTCCCATTGGCCCCGAGGATGCGGCGAGTGCCCTGCGGAGTCCCATTGGGAGAGGCGGGCAAAGTAAGCTGGGCGCCTGGACCAGTTCGCGGCCCGGGTCGAGCGCGCGCTGGGTTCGGCCCTGTCCGCCCTCCGGGGTTGGGGTCTGGGGTCCGCGGGCCTGCGCAGCCACTGGCCATCGGGGTGACAGCAGCCACTTTGTCCATGTGTGACCCTGCAAGTGTTCCTTCAGCTGCACTCGGCGCTTTCCGCCGATTCCCAGTAGCCTTGCTGGGACACCCTGTGCACACTTGGAATACCTGCTGGGATATTAGCAGATACCTACATGAGCCCCCTGTGAGCCAGACATTTGTCCCAGGCTTTTCTATGTGTTAGCTCATTTACTTTTCCAAACTGCCGCAGAACGTATAGTACTGACCAGGAATGAGCTCCAGCCGCCGTTTCAGACCGGGAGCTGACCTTAGGAAGTGGGAGGACAGGCACCGGGGAGCAGCAACACATGAGGAGGAGGCTGGGAGCTTGCTGGAGCTGACCCGGGAGGCCCAGCAATCCTGAAAGGGGAAGTGTGTCTGCAGGGTGCCCCTGAAGGAGCTGTTCCCCAAATACATAAGGGGAAGTGTGCAGGGGTGCGCTGTAGTGGGTGTGCCCAAGGCCGTATCCTGCCTGGAGCAGTCCACAGCTGGTGCCTGAATGGAGCGCAAGCATAAAGATCTGGCCATTTGGGCCCAACACCGAACCCCTCCGAGGATCAGTACCGGCCCCAGAGCACACCAGACCGGCAAGAGCTCTGCAGGGCCTCTGCACACTTCTGCGTCCTCTGCCCAGTCCTGCTTCCTTCCCCTTCCTCTCACAGGTCTTATCCCCCAAACTCCATCTCAGCATCTGCTTGTGGAGAAGCACTTACTACCAGGAGTGGTCTGCGGAAGTGAGGGAGGCGATGTGCTGGGTCACTCACAGACCCTGTGGTGATCTGCTCATTTCTCACCAGCTCTGAAGCTGGAGGTCAACCAGTGACGTGAAGTGGAATACACTAAGTGGGTGACATATGGAGCCTTTTTTACATTATAGTAGCTATCAAGAAGGATCATGGAATTGGGTAGCTATTCCTCAGTACTACTGATACTCTTAAGAAAAACAACAGGCACACCTGGGTGGCTCAGTGGGTTGAGTGCCCAACTCTTGATCTCAGCTCAGGTCTCAGTCTCAGGGTCATGAGTTCAAGGCCTGCATTGGGAGCCCAGCGTGGAGCCTACTTAAAAAAATAAAATAAAAAGAAAAACAGGGACGCCTGGTGGCTCAGTCGTTCAGCGTCTGCCTTCGGCTCAGGTCATGATCCCAGGGTTCTGGGATGAGCCCCATGTCGGGCTCCCTGGTCCGTGGGGAGCCTGCTTCTCCTACCTCTGTCGCTCCCCCTGCTTGTGCTCTCTCTGTCAAATAAATAAATAAAAATCTTAAAAAATAAATAATTTAAAAAGGAAAAAGAAAAACAATGGATAGCTGATGGCTAACAACAGACGGTTGAAAGCCACAGAGCCTCTTTGGTTGCATATAAAGAAAGCATCTTCCACACTGAGATGATAAAGACAAGGGCCAGGCCCAGGGATTAATACCTCAAAGATGGTAAGCACCCAACCAAGGCAGTTCTGTTATGCTGAGTTTGGGGCCCTGGTTGGGAAAAGCTGGGGCCATGACACGGGTTGGAGGTATTTGATATCTGGCTAGATACCCTCAAAGGTTTTGACTCCCCAGCCTCGCCATGTGGCTCACCTCTCCCTGTTTAGCCAGCACTCCTTCCCCTACCTCCTGGACACTGAGCATGGAATCACAGTTATTTGGGGGGCATAATTTAGCTGGAAACATGAGATGCAAGGGGAGCTATAGTCCCCTCCCCCTCAAAAGGACTGTGTATTTGTTTGCTAGGGCTTCACTAACAAAGTACCACAAACAGGATGGCTTACCAGGAATTTGTCTCTGGAGGTCGGAAGTCAGAACAAGAAGATGGCATGGGGGCACCTGGCTGGCTCAGTCGGAAGAGCATGCGATTCTACATCTAGGGGTCATGAGCTAGAGCCCCTTGTCGGGGGTAGAGATTACTAAAGAAGCATAAACTTAAAAAAGAAAAAAGATGACAGCATGTCTGGGTCTTTCTGAGGGCTGCAAGAGGCTGTCGTTCCTCTCTCCCAGCTTCTGATGGTTTGCTGGAACGTTTGCTATTCCTTGGCTTGTAGGTGCATCACACCGATCTATGCCTTCATATTCACATGGCTTTTCCCCTACATGTGTGTCTGGTTCTGTGTCCAAATTTCCCCTACTTAAAAGGACACCAGTCATATTGAATTAGAACCCACCCTAATGAATTCCTCTGAATTGGATCATCTGCAAAGACCCTATTTCCAAATAAGGTCACATTCACAGTTACTCAGGGTTAGTACTTCAACATCTTTTCTGAGAGGGGGTGGGGATAAAATTCAATCCATAACAAGCTGTAAGACCAGCCAACATGTACTTCCAGGAACTGGGAAAATTTGTGTGGGGCTGGATTATGAGTGTGTTTAATGAGTGGTGGTCCCCCACACGTTTAATTCATCAGCATGACCCTTGCAGAAATCGGAAGGGAGTTACAATATAAAATTGGGTAGAAGACAAATGGAGTGATCCAAAGGGGCACCTGCACCCCAATGTTTATAGCAGCAATGTCCACAATAGCCAAACTGTGGAAAGAGCCCAGATGTCCGTCAACAGATGAATGGATAAAGAAGATGTGGTTCATATATACAATGAAATACTACTCCGCCATCAAAAAATGAAATCTTACCATTTGCAATGATGTGGATGGAACTAGAGGGTATTATGCTAAGTGAAATAAGTCAGTCAGAGAAAGACAATGATCATATGATGTCACTGATATGGGGAATATAAGAAACAAAACAGGATCATAGGGGAAGGGAGGGAAAAATAAAACAAGATGAAACCAGAGAGGGAGACAAACCATGAGAGACTCTTAATCATAGGAAACAAACTGAGGATTGCTGGGGGGAGGGGGGTGGGGGGATGGGGTAACTGGGTGACGGGCATGGAGGAGGGCACGTGATGTAGTGAGCACTGGGTGTTACATGCAACTGATGAATCACTGACCTCTACCTCTGAAACCAATAATACACTGTATGTTAATTAATTGAATTTAAATAAATTTTAAAAAATAAAACTGGGTAGAAGAGTTTATTGGCTTATAAGCAATCTTCTGAGATATGGGGTTTAGGACCTGAACAAAGACTGGGTGTGAACTTGCTGAAGGGATGCCGCTAGCATGATGGGGTATCTAGTGCCGCATAACAAAGTACTACACACTTAGTGGATAAAACAGCAAGAAGCACAAATAATGCAATATATGTTAAGAAAAAAAAAAGAAGAAGAAGAAGGTAGTGGGAGGGGAAGAATGAAGCGGGGGAAATCGGAGGGGTAGACGAACCATGAGAGACGATGGACTCTGAAAAACAGGCTGGGGGTTCTAGAGGGGAGGGGGGTGGGGGGATGGGTTAGCCTGGTGGTGGGTATTGAGGAGGGCACGTTCTGCATGGAGCACTGGGTGTTATGCACAAACAATGAATCATGGAACACTTCATCTAGAACTAATGATGTAATGTATGGGGATTAACATAAGAATAAAAAAAAAAACAGCAAGAAGCATCTCTCTTGGTGACTCATTTACGCACATGTCTGGCAGATGATGTTGGCCCCCAGATTGTGGGACACGTGGAACAAATATAGTTTTGCCTGAAGGCTTTGTTGACAATTGCATTGTCCCATTACATCCATAACAACATGTTCATCAGCCAGATGAGCAAGAGGTGAAGATGTTGGAGACCTTGGTAAGATACAGATACTCCAGAGAGGAAATAATAAGCCCCATGAAGATTCAGGCGCCTGCTACATCCGTCATATTTTTAGGGATCCAGTGGTCAGCAGTGTCCCACAGGGCAGCTTTCCAAAACTAAAAGACAATTATTGCATCCGGCACCTTCAACAATTAGAAAGCAAGACATTGTTGGACCTCTTCTGGTTCTGGAAGCAGCATGTTCCACACCTAGGAATCCAGCTCTGACTCAAATATTGAGTGATTTGGAAAACTGTCAGCTTTGAGAAGAGCCGAGAACTTTGATATCTACATATTTGGATCCTCATCAAGGTATCCTGTTAGAGTGGTCCATAAGGGGGGCAGGTAACTAATGGAGGCCATAATAGGTCAGGTTCTGCTGCCTGAGCCAGAGGGTCTAGCAGGTGGCACGGGGGTTATTGGTGGCAGGGAACAATGCAACATGGAGTTTCTGTCATGCCCCAGTAGGAGATTCACAGTTCAGGACCCTGAGGTTCTACCATACCACTTGGAGCAGAGAATTTATATGTCTTTTTGGGGAAAAAATACCCTGGTTTGCTGTTGTGCTGATAGACATGGAGCACCTGACCTTGGGGCACTGGAGTCACCCTGCAGCCAAAATCGCCCATTGTGAGATG